CATAAATTACAGCAAAGAAGAATGTACGATTTTCTGCAGCCTATCCAAATATGAATTATAATTGAAATTGAATAATAATATGTAATTTTTAAATAAAGTATGAATCAAGTATGTATATATTTTTTAAATAAAGTTTTTTAGTTTTTTTTCATCAGTTCGGCTAATCGGGACAGCCGGATAATGGGGACAAATAGGGTGCCCGGCCGATGTGTCCCCATTAAGCGGTTTCTACTGTATTCGTATTGTATGGGTAAAATACATTAAGATCTTTTAAAAATGTGTACATTTTTTACTGATCTATTGTACACTATTGAAATAATGCTGTGCTTCTTTACCAAATCTAAAAACCTCTGACATTGAAGGTAATTTTTTTATTATTATAGGTACTGTACAAAATAGACATATGTTTCGATGGAGATTTTGAAATTAGCAAAATAAGGACCATTCTAAGATATATATTCAATTTTCTCTCAATCTTCCAAACTTTTCACCTCACAGTAGCCTGTTGTGTGAAATATATCTGTTTTCCTATTGTTTCAATTTTATAAACCATTTAAAGGTAATGGACATTTAAGTAATATCAATATCTAATTATTAATGCTGGAAAATATTTGAAAGCAAGTTATGGAAAGAAATGAATATTAAATTTGTTGTAATTACTGATTGAAAAGGCTGGAGTTATAGGTACGCAGCGATTTTCTATTCTTTAGCAGTTTCACTGTATCAACTATGTGAGAGTGGAGTCATAAGTAAATTCTATCACTTTAGGTTCTGGATTGATACAACTGATGAGAAAGTAGCAGATTAAAAATATAGGTAGCAGACAATGAATCCCCATTTCTTATTCAACATGTAATAAAAAAAAAAAAAAAAAAAGGAAAAGAAATGCTAAAGTCCTGGAAAGATGTCCAAAACTAAATACTTACCCATGGATTCCCTTAAGAAAATTATAGTGTTGATTACAATTAGCACTATACAGTCTATGATAGGTTTACAACAAATTTAACAGATGCCCCTGTTATAATCTCTATCAGTAATATAGTCTGCTGTTACAAAATGTATGCCAAAATGATGCTTGTGTGAGAATACAGGAACACTGTCATTCAACCCTCTATTCAACATAAGTAACTGATTGATCTGAAACAAATTTAAGGGAAAAGTAAAATGAAAAAAATATCAGAGTACATTTTTTTTAAATATACTATACATGCAGTATAATACACTTAACTTACTTTTATTTTTAAAATAGTTTCAATATACATGCAGGGTTATCAATCTATTTTAAGAAAAAAAGAACTTTTTTCAACAAGAACAAGAAGAAAAAAAAAAAACAAGCAGCTCTAGATTGTACATTTACAGTTTTTTTTTTGTCACCCATATTATAAAGTGTAAAACCACCACTTTATACTTTTATTTTTCAAATGGCAACCTATATTTAAAAAAAAATATTGTCCTAGGATAATGAGGACATGTACAGCCACTGCTATAGGTAATTTAATGTACACCTGTAAGCAACGATACACCATTGCTTGAGTTCAGCTAATAGTGATACTTTGTCAACAATATATATGTCATATTATAGTAAAAATTAGCTTTCTATATATTCTTTAATAATATTTTTTCAATGTTTTATAATTATTAATAATATAATAATTAGCTAAATAATATATAGCTGTCCCACGCCTGGCATTGCCAGTGCCAATTTGTATTATTATTACTTTACCCATATTATTCATTTTTGGTTTAGGAACAAATAGGTGGAAAGTAAATAGTCCACCTTTGGCAGACTAAATGTGTTCTATTATGAAATTTCAATAGTGTAAATAATAATATTAATAATAATTATATTGGTTATCTTTTTCTTGGCAACCCTTGAATAAAAAAAAATGTTATATTATATATACAATTCTTTGCTCACAGTTATTCAACCTTGTTACCCGGATAACACAAATCAACAAAAAAGAAATTGTATTTATTATATTATAAGTTAAATTATTTAGTGTTGCTCGTATATATATACATAAATTGATTGATGTGTTGTAAAACCATCTTATAGAAATATCACTCAACAGATTACAACAGGGTTGTAATTCTTATTGTATTCGTCCAAATTATATGCAGTAAAGGGAAGTCTTTTGTTTTAAACACTTGAGACCATAAGTTTGTATATTTTAATAAGTATTTATGGTTCATGATTTCAAACATTTTAATATGACCAATAAACATGACCTAAAAATTCAAATTATTTTTTTAATATAAAAAAACTACTTTATGTGACCTAAATAAAAAAGTTAGACATATGCTGTCGCTAATTTTTTGTAAGCATTATCAAACTCTACAATTTTTCTTTAAAACTCAATCATATATCTCTTATTGTTAAGGCAGCGACCTTTTTTCTTCGATTTACTGTGCATATATGACTACCACAAAAAAGGCTTTTCATTTTTCTGATTAATATATATATATAGCCTATGACACTCACAAATAATGTGGCTTTCTATTGGTAAAAGAATTTTAAAAATCGGTTCAGAAGATCCAGAGATTACACCCTACAACCTCACAAACTTTACCTCCTTATAATAATATTCAGTGATTTTAAGTTCTTACTTCTTAATCCATGATTATAGTAAATATATTTATGATTTCAACATCATTTACCCAACTTTCAAAAAGCTTAATTTTACAGTGGCCACACTTTTAACGTATTTTCACAATTAAGCGGAACACTGATAAGGAAGAATTGCCTGACCTTATCTTCTAAGATCATGATTTAGTTTCAACCATGGATCTTTAAACTAAATTAGTTTATAAGTCAGTTTCCACACTGTCCACACCCATTTTCAGGTGAAATAATCCCTTTGTAAATAAACATGACACTAGAACTGAAAAAAAAAATAACCTTATAAAATATATTATAAATAAAATATTTGCTAAACTGTATATATCATACTTACTGTTGTGAATGCACAACAAAATAAAGGTTTGGTTGCATGTAAAAATACATGACATACAGTGTTTTATATATCAAACATTTTAATATTACTAATATATTTTCTAATGTTACATTATGTTATATTATTTGCAGTGAATTATCAGAAAATATGAATAAGTATATTACATATATAATGAAAAATGGTATATGATATAATAATTGATTTCTATTTCTTATCAAATATATAATACTGATTAATCATTTGATAATACTATAAAAATAAAATAAAACATCAGTTTGATGACTTTTCCAAAATATAAAGGATTAAGGAACTAGTTTTAAAAATTGTATATTGACTTTGGGAGGAATGCAGTTTGTAGACATGTACATAAAATTTGGTTTGGAAGGGAAACTGCACCATTACTCTAACAGAAAACAAAACCAAATAGTTTTATGGCGCAAATATATATAATATGAAATATATGATCAAGGTCAACACATTTATTACTTAGAGGAAACTGAGGTAAATACTGGAGATTATCTAAATAAAGTATGGGTTGATACAGCTAAAACATCCCATGAAGACAAATTTTTAAAGGGGATATCAACTGATTATGTAAACCCAATTAGCAAAGGTAAATAGCCTCATTGTCCTCCACATTGGCTTATTTCTAGTGGGTTTTTATGTTTTAAATCAACAAAAAAACTCAAGTGATTACCAGAACAAAATCATTAAAGAGACATTTCGTGAGTCAATGGAAAATATTCTGACTCCGTCAGTGATGGAAATCAGTGAATCGATAAAGTCCCTACATGTACTAAGAACTCCAACATCATACAGTAGTTGGAAGTTAAAAGAAGTCATAAGCATGCTAAAAATTATTCCTGAACGCCTAAGACTACTTCACTGTTAGAGAATATTTTTGAGAGGTAAAAGTTATTTAAATGTTTAAAAAGCACCCTTTTTATGTTAGGAATAATAGTTAACAATTAGAACACATTCTGTGTGTTACTTATTAGACCAGATTATTGATCAATTCTCTGAAAAATGTAAACGAGAAGTACACATATGTACAACCTACCTACATTATTTTTATTCTTTCATTTTGTTTTATTTTCCTTTATTTATAATATTATGAA